GTTTTGAGTGGATCACTCAACCCAAATTTTCTCATTCGTAATTTTTACATCAATGTATTTTATTATATTTTCAATAACTGAAACGCTAATTTTTAATTTTTTTTTGCAGATGTGATTGGTCAGGTTATGGACTTGGGAGTGCTTGAAACTATCCAAGTCGCAGTGAAGTTTACACCTCGCGACATCAAGTAATTTTTTTATCTCACGTTTATTATTTTGAGTGATCCTTCAAGTTCATATTAATTCAATACTTATTCTACTTTTAATAATAGTGACTCTCGTGTTTCCTGCTGTGTGAGATCTTCTATGAGGGTTGCAGTAAAGAAGAAGAAAGAAAAGCCATATACCTAATCAGGTTTGTAAGGATCAGGAGATTTAGAGGTATAAACTTTTCTTATCTATTAAATTAAAAAAAAAAATTAATAGATAATATTATTTTCAAGTGGATGTTAATTATATTATAATATACTTACCTATATATTCGCTGCAGGTGAACTCCAAATCACCAATGCATTTGAGGCATCACAGCTCTTGATTAATCCTGCAATTTCAGAGACCGATGCCTTCAACAAATGTGATGTTTCATTCATCTTTAAGATTTTATCTTCGGTCTATATAGGTATTTTCTTGAACATGATTTCATTATGTTGTTTATACACATATTAATAAACTAATCATGCTGTATTTATATGGAAATTAGGATTTATAATAACGTGAAAGAAGACAAAGTATCTAGAAATAACTTATCTTTTATTTTAAATTCATGTTTTCTTTATAGAATAATGAAATCCATAATCTTCGTATTTTGAATATTAATATTTTCTCTGAGGGTATATTATTCCTGAAAGGAAAAAAAAATTCACCATTTTTAAGACACTTAAACACAGATACTAGAGTTGTAATTAATAAATTTAACAGTAAATAGAAAATGTCAAAAGAATCTTAGGCTTTCTTGCCACTGTTATTTGGCTTTTGTTATTCAGATTTTTTTTGAATCAATTTTACAACAATTAGATTTTTATTAACTATTAACTATGGATCAAAAAGAAAGATGCGAAATCAGATTTACCTTTTTGTGGTCTTTCAAATCTTCTTAGGAATTTGTCAAAGAGACCTGAAAAGGTAAAGTTCTTCAACCATCTCAAACTCATCGTGTTTTTCACGGATTCTTTCAGATCCAACATGCATAACAAGTTAAAAAAAAACAAGTAAGATTTTCTTTTGAGATAATTTGCTCAAACACCATATTGAGACCCTTAATTAGAGAAATATACACGATGTGACATAATTAAATATAATGATCAAATTTCCCTTCCTTTTACAAGCATGCTCACCTGACACTCTCTCTCTCCTGACACTCTCTTTCTTTCGATTCTTCTTCTTTCTCATTCTCACACTCTCTTATCAAATTAATACCTTCATTTTTTTGTGTAAAAATTGATTGTTGCGAAAAAATTATTACTATTTTACTACTATTCTTATGAATCTAAATTATTTTAATTACACCATATTCTGAAAAAATCAGCACTGGAGTTTTTTTTTAAAATCGCCGAGATGTTAACACTTATGTTAGCTGTTAACAAATAATGTAGATGTCAACAAAAGTGTTAACTGTTAACAAATATATGTACCGGATGTATTAACAGAGGCATTAACTGTTAACAAATTTTGTAAATGTTAACAAATATGTTAGCTGTTAACAAAACATGTATTATAAGTGTTAACAGATATGTTAGTTGTTAATAAATTTTGTAAATGTCAATACATGCGTTAGGTATTATATGTTAATAAATAAATATTCTTGAAGTTTCATTTCTCTATCAAAATGAGTAAAATTAAAACTCATTTACATATAAAATTATAGATGAGAAAACAAATCAAGAAAAAATAGTGTAAAAAGAAAGAAATGAATATGAAAAAGAGATGTGTGGTTTAAAGAAAGAGAAGAAGAATAGTTGGAGAGAGAGTGACAGATATAGGCAATAGGATTCTGAAGGGCATTTTCGTCCAACACCAACCAAATTGTAGAAAAAGTTGTCTTTATGTCAACTCATGTGCATTTGCCTAATATAGGCTTCAATTTTGGGCATTTGCCTAATTCTCTCTTTTCTTTTTAGATTTTTATATCTGCTAAAAGAAAAAATAGAGAAAATCACCTAAATAGATTGGAAAATGTGAAGTACTTTGATTTGCTGCCATCGATTTGCACCTCTTCAAGCAGTCGTTTCCATCTTTACCACCACAAGTAAGCCGCGGTAGTTCGTATCATGAGTGCTCTAGCTTCGATTAAAGTTTGGCCATGGAAATCGTCTTTCGATAAAGAAACATCGAGACATAAAATTTTGTTCTTTCCTTTTCTGTTTTTTTTTTTAAAAAGTGATTGGTCATCGACCACACAATTTTGTCATCGGTTCAGATGTTTTTACTTTGGGCCATTCGGGCCGGGATTAGTATTTTTTGTATTTCAAGTTCTTATTTCTATGTGCAATTCAGGCCCATTATAAATATTGTGTTTGTATTAACAAACATGATTAAACATATGATTATTAGTTTTTACTTTTTAAATCTATGTTTAGACATTCCTAAAATATCTTAATATCATAATGAAACACGTAAATATTTATTTAGAGCTTAGTACAAATGTATGTTAACAACAAAAATTGTTTATAAAATAACTTTAGCATAATAGAGNGTATTTATGCATAATAATATTTTTCACCTAAAATAAAGAATTACAACACATATACAATACAATTCTAATTAGTGATAATAGAAAATATGTTACTTATAAAAAACTACATACTATTAATTTCAGATTTGGAAAATAAAATTCAACCTTCAACACACAAATTTTTTTGTGATGTTGCAATTATAAATACACACAATAACTATATATTGATACTGAAGTTACTTTGTTCCATCTCCTCCATGTAAAATATTGTGTACCAGCATTTTTCTGTGTCTGATGCTTTACCTCAAAGACGGTGGTCTTATGATATCACATCTATTACTTCTAAAACTTTGTATTATTAAGTCCATAATTTAAATCTGTATATACCCGCATAGGGTGCGGACCGGTCACCTAGTAAATATTAAAACTTAAAAGACTGTCACTCTTTGACCGACCTTTGACGAATTTTCCAACTTAGCTAATAAAATAAAAATTAAGTACCTAAAAACGACTATCACAGAAAATATAAAAACCTTACAAAGTCATACCGCAGCCTCCGCCCCCCCCAACCACTCACCCATTCAAAAGGCCAAAACATCACCACCACCTGCAAAGCATCAGCAGTAAAACCCTAAAGGGATTCGACGAAAGAGACACAACCCAATATCCTATCTTCGTCTCTCCGTCTTGCCCTTTCTCCAAAATCTCATCTTTCTTATTATTACCAAAGATGTCGATGTCTTGAGGTCTTCCACTGTCATCACCATCTACCCCTTCATAACCAGGACCTGTAATCATGGGCAAGACTGGAATCAACTTGTTCGACGACACGAGTAATGGGTTCTTCTCAGTTTCCGATTTGGGATCCGACTGGAGCCTCCAGAACCCAAACTACCGCCCAGTTGGTGGGTTGTTCGCTAGTGTTAATCAGTTAGGAGCTGGGTTCGGGTCAGGATTCGGGTCTGGAGCTCCTCCAAACAGAGACAACAATAGCTTCACTGCTCAGCTCAATGATTTGTGCACAAAGTACTTGCCTTTCAAAGAAGTGGAGGTTGAAGAAGAAGAAGAAGTGATTGGTGAGAAGAAGCTTAAGAAGAAGAAAGGAGGTTTCAAGCTGAAGCTCAAGATCTCCAATCCTTCCTTGCGGCGGCTTTTCAGCGGTGCTGTGGCCGGAGCGGTTTCCAGGACGGCGGTTGCTCCTTTGGAGACCATTAGGACTCATCTAATGGTCGGAAGCGGCGGCGAGTCCACCACCGAAGTGTTCCGTGATATCATGAAACATGAAGGGTGGAAAGGTCTCTTCAGGGGTAATTTGGTCAATGTCATTCGAGTAGCACCTGCTCGTGCCGTTGAGGTACCAAAGATTTTAATGTTTCATTGTTGGTATGTAATGTTATGGCTATGGAATGGTTATGGAGCGTTAGATAATCTGATGGACTGCTTTGGCTTGAAACTGTTTATGTTGTTGTTGTGTTGATATGAAGTTCTAGTTTAAGCACTTAGTGTGTGATGTATGTAATTATTTTGGTTGGGTTTTTAACTTGTAAGTCAACTATGTGCAGCTTTTTGTATTCGAGACAGTTAACAAAAAGTTGACTCCGAAGCTCGGAGAAGATTCGAAAGTTCCCATCCCAGCTTCATTGCTCGCTGGTGCTTGTGCTGGTGTTAGCCAAACCCTCTTGACATACCCTCTCGAGCTAGTCAAGACCCGTCTTACAATTCAGGTATGCACTATAATGTTGGAGGCCTTCAGGACATTTTACTTATTACTCTTCTTTTGACGCAAAAACATTGGTCACTGATGTGTCTTGGAAACCATATCTGCAGAGAGGTGTGTACAAGGGAATATTGGATGCGTTTGTCAAGATAATTAGGGAGGAGGGCCCGACAGAACTTTACAGGGGACTTGCCCCGAGTCTTATAGGAGTGGTTCCATATGCAGCAACAAACTACTTCGCCTATGATTCCTTAAGAAAGGCATACCGTAAGATGGTGAAGAAAGAGAGCATCGGAAACGTGGAGACTCTTTTGATTGGTTCTTTGGCTGGTGCGTTGTCCAGTACGGCGACTTTCCCCTTGGAGGTTGCTCGGAAGCATATGCAGGTGGGAGCAGTTGGTGGAAGGGCGGTTTATAAGAACATGTTGCACGCTTTGGTCTGTATACTGGAGCAAGAAGGTCTTGCAGGTTGGTACAGAGGGCTTGGACCGAGTTGCTTGAAGTTGGTTCCTGCAGCTGGAATATCTTTCATGTGCTATGAGGCGTGCAAGAAGATACTCGTTGAGAACAATAACGAGGAAGCCTGAGCTATGTTTGTCACAATGACTAAAATGGGTTCTTATGGCTGATGATTCTGCAACTATACGTGTACTTGTTTAGACTCCACATTCACAGTTAGGAGATTTGAGTTTGAAATTTTGGGCAGGCACATTATTGATTTTTGTGGAACTAAACATCCGTAAGATTTATCTGTTTTTTTGTTTGGTTTTTGTATTGTGTTCTTGATCTGACATAGCGTTGCTTTATTTGTTGCTTGCTCAAATAAGTTGGAAATGCAATCTGTTTTTGAGTTCACAACTCTTTTGATAGAAGATTCTAATTTCCCTTGACAAAGCTTCACAATCTTCCAGTAACATATCGGAGGTAGAACCAAACTTCCATCAACTTCATATTCGCCATGGTTTTAACAAAAACTGAGATTTATTTACATTACACAACCAAACCCAAAATGTGTATTTAAAAGTGAAGTGACTACACACCACTGTTCAGCGTACTGGATACTTTAGCGCCCATGTATCGCAGTTTGTGTCATATGATTCACAGACTCCAAGACAGTACTCTCTTGATCTTGAACCTGCACTGCAAATACTGGTTGTTGTGGCCTCGGGAGATCTGTTGTGGTTGTGATCATAGACACTACTTGTGCAATGTTTGGTCTATCAACAGCTTGCTGTTGGATGCAGAGTAGACTAATCTGAACACATCTCGCCACTTCATCTGGAGAACACGAGCTGGCAATAGCCTGATCCAACAGATCCACTCCACCAGTCTCGAGCCAAGACTCCCATGCCTGTTATATAGTTAAGAAATTGTTAACATCATAAACATTGTGATTTGACACACTACGAGGATAGTGAAAGTTTATTTACATATTCAAGAAGGGTTTTGCCTTGGCCACCACAGTTAAAGCTTGAAATCTTCATCCCACTTATGATTTCTAACTGCAGAACTCCGAAAGCATATATGTCCGACTTCTCCGAGAACATCCCTGTCCATGCATACTCAGGAGACATGTACCCTCTGTGCATAATATCCGATGCAGTTTGGTAAGTTAACACAATTAATAATTTGAAAAACATGTCACTGGGATATATACTTACATGGTTCCAACAACCCTACGTGTACTGTCTTGATGTTGAGTTCCTTGAACCATCCGAGCCAATCCAAAATCTGATATTTTGGGGTCCATGTTTCCGTCCAACAGAATGTTGCTGACCTTCATATCTCGGTGTATGACCTTAAGGCATGAGTCACGATGGAGATAGAGAAGCCCACGCGCAACGCCTTGAATGATGTTGAACCTCTTCGGCCAATCAATCTGAAGCTTTAGAGTCATATCTGACCAATAGAAAAAAAAGAGCATATTAATTGAGGAAGAAAAAGAAAGGAGAAGTAATAAAATGTAGAGGCAAATGCAAGCACAAGGAGCAGACCAAAGAGAAAAGTGTCGAGGCTTTTGTTCACCATAAACTCATAAATCAGTAGCTTTTCTTCTCCATCAATGCAGCATCCCAAAAGCCGAACCAAGTTTCTGTGTTGTAGTTTTGAGATGAGTTTTATCTCATTCATGAACTCTTCTGTACCTTGTCCAGAGCTGCTAGAAAGCCGTTTAACGGCTATTTCCTTCCTGTCTGAGGTAATTCCCTAAAAGCAAAGTTGCAGACAGTCATCCACAGAACAATATATAACACAGAGATGAGAAGAGCAAAAAGAGCCAAATTATCTTTTACCTTATAAACTGGACCATATCCACCTTGACCAAGTTTGTTTGAGACATTGAAGTTATTGGTAGCAGCTCGTATGGTATTCATCTCAAAGAAAGTTAAACCTGAGATTTCTTCTTGTTCCAAACCATTTTTCCATGAATCTTGTAATTGTTTGAATTGGCACAACAAGTAACAAAATGCTGTGAGTGTAGCAGTCAATAGAACATATTCAAGTAAATGCATATATGGTAAAAGAAAAAGAGCAACAATAATCTCTATCAGCAGATACAAGTTGAAGTGTAGACTGATCACGAGATAAAGATGTGGACTACCTCTTTGCTCATGTTGGTTACATAGTTAAAAGTAAAACAATAATGCACAAGAAAAAAATGAGAGTTACCCTTTTGTTTTGCTCTGTGTCTCCAGTACATATATGAGGCAAAGACCAAAATCACAAAAATGGAAAGGCATATACTGCCAGCAATAATCATGGTTCTCCTGTTTTCAGCTGAAAGATTACCATAAAGTAAAAAACCATACTGCAACGGAAATCAACGAAGCTAAAAAGTAAAAAAGTCTTTCAGCCTCACCCAGTTCTGAACTTGCAAGACGAACTGAAAGAAACTCTCCTCCAGTGGAATATCTAACTATGTCTATTAGCTCCTGGTTCCAAAGCAAGCATCCAATTCCATTAATATAAGCGAAAGCAGTGCAGGAGCAGTTTCTTAGACAACCCTGTTTGCACTGAACTTCATTCACAAAGCTTGCAAACTCATAAAAATCCGGAGGCTTTACATTTGCCAGACGATAGAAGCCGTCTGAGCCTTTTCCTTGTGTCTTTGTAGATGACTTTGTTGCCTGACATGATAATTCTGTACGTCGCACACATCCAGAAGTCATGTTTTCGCCTTCCGGCTCCTTTGGTACAAATCCTTTTATGCATTGACACTTTGTGGGAGTGGACTTCACACACAACCCATAAGGTCCACATGTACCATACAGATCACACGAATTCTGTGGAGTGACAAAGTCAATAACCCACCCTGTACCATTATAATGAGAAGTCTTTAGAAATCCCTCTGATGTTATGATAGATCGTGCAAGTTGAGAACTTTTCGGTAAATAATAGAAGGTCCCTGTTCCTCTTTCTACATCTTGTGAAACGCTAAATGGACTTGCGTAGGATCCATCCATTTGTGGTATGCCAGTGAAAACTGTCTTAGCCCATGGACCGCTTCTCTTATAAACTTTCGTGCCTTTCATCGTAACGATCTGTGCTGGTACTTGTGAAGTCAACTCAACTGCAAACTCACCAGGAGATGGGTCAGTGTCACTTTTCCAAGAAGTCAACACTCGCTTCTCCTTAGTGGCAATGTTGTACGTTAGCGTTGAGGAAGGTAGCAGAGTATCACCAAGATTCTCGAAACTTTGCCATAAATAACTGTTTGAGACATCACCAACATCATCAACATCAACGATGACAAGATTGCCAGTATCTAAGAGCTTCGCATGACACTCTTTAGATGTGGAAGCTTCTCTGGTTGACCAAACAACATTTTTCTTGTTGTCAAGCAAGATAAGGCTCCCATTTCCGCTCATAGTGAGGTTTGCCGCAGGGCTTGTGATAGGTTTTTCTCTATTAGCCACCCAGACAACAACCCTTGGTGTAATTTTCTTGAACCAAATCCCGATATATTGATTCTGAGAGTTGTTAGGACTGAAGAATCCTAGCTCATAAATTCCTTTAGGGGAACTCAGAGTTTGTCCGAATAACAAAGGACTTCCTCTAGATATAGCTGCATAGCCACACTTTAAGAATAGACTTAACCAGAGAAAGCAAGGAAAGAGAACAATACCCATCTCTCTCCAATGTATCCCCATGTGTCCAAAAGAGTTAACTAGAGAAGAAGGCTTCAGATCTGAATGTATGACCAACAACAACAATTGACTCCTGTAGATGTACAGTATAATATTATACTCATTATACTGCATTGTTTTAATTTATTTTTACGCCTCGTTTTTTACGAATAGGCATTATAATACACCAAACTGTTGACTTAAGTTTCTCACTCCATAAAAAAGAGAAAATGGAACCTTGTCCTTTGGTGCGTTTCCCAAATATTTGATAGTACATGACAATTTGAATTGTAATAGTTTATTATCAGCTTTGTCCATGTTCAACAGATGCATCTGTCTTCTACTACCTAACATATTTCAATGATTTGAGTTTTGTCATTTCTGTACTATCTGTATAATCTAACAGAAAGAAATCTTGGACCAGTTTCCACGACACACTTTTCAGGTTTCACATGTAATGGGTAAGACATGAAAGAAAAAACAGAGCAGTAAAAGTGAATAAATTACCTGGACACATCCAAAAGAGTTCGAGATCTAGCGCGAGGATATCGTGTTTAATATTACAAAATAAACTTTAGCTTTCTATGAAGGCTTCTACTTCAGACTATAGCTCTTGTTCTTCCACAAATTAGTTATATCTCCCGGGTAAATACAGCTCATCAGTGTAGGGAAGGGGACGGGTCAATCTCACTCTCACCAGTAATCTCCGCACGAACATACACCGTTCTTGAAATGGTGAAACCGTTGCATGTCCCGTACAATAATTTCTCGTCCGGTCACAAGGGAAATGTACTTTGTAGCATTGTGACAATCAGCACAGACCCGAAGGTTCTTTCTAACGTGAATAGTTGTACCAGCTGTTGTATTCAGAAGTCCAAAAGATATAGCCAGCTTCTCGCTGTGGCTACTAAGCAACTGCTCCTTGATATCATCTTCAACGCCGAGGATTAAATTCGTGTCAGGAACATAACCAGCTTCTTTGATTTTGCATATTAGCTTCTCAAGAAAAGCATAAATCGTCTTGGAACTGGGATGGTCTGTGCTTCCCGAGAAGAAGCTATGCACTTTGTTCTTTATCTCTACCATACTGCAGCCAGGGGTTTTGCGCAGACCCTGTCTCAACATTGAAACTCTAACTTGTCCCACTTTCTCCCACATCGAAGCTGCGCGATATATGTTTGCAAGAAGCACATGATACCCACCATCATCCGGGTTCAACTCAAACAATCTCTCTGCTGCTTTCTCAGCGAAATTCACGTTTTTATGAATCTGACAAGCACCTAACATGGCACCATATACATTAACAGCTGGCTTAACAGGCATCTGCATAATAAAGTCCCATGCTTCATTCAACCGTCCAGCTCGACCTAGAAGATCAACCATGGCTCCGTAGTGGTCCATTGACGGTTCTATGCTGTAGCTTTCCTTCATCATATGGAAGCACTTGACTCCTGCCTCTACCAAACCCGAGTGGCTGCAAGCAGAGATGATGGAAAGAAATGTGACACCATTTGGTTTGATGTTTCCTTTTTGCATTTCTTGAAACAACTCTAGAGCAGCTTTCCCAATACCATGCGTCCCGTATCCATCTATCATCGCGTTCCATGTTGTCACATGACGCTCGCTCATCATGTCAAAAATCTTTCTTGCAGTCATAATAGCTCCGCATTTAGCATACATGTCGACAAGAGCCGTTGCGACAAACACGTTCTTGTCCAGACAATTTCGCATTACCACCCCATGTATCCACTTGGCCTGATGTGTAACTGACAACTCTGCAAGAGCAGTTATGACACTCACATAAGTAAACGTATCCGGTTTCACAGTCCAAACCCGCATCTGGCTGAAGTAATTCAATGCTTCGATAGGACGACCATTCTGTGCAAATCCTAATATCATTGCGTTCCAAGAAACAAGTGTTCTTGTCCGCAATTTCCCAAACAAAGAAGCTGCTGTTTCAACGTCCTTGCACTTGCAATACATGGAGATCAAAGAGTTCACTACTGACACATTTCTATCAAGATCCAAATCAACCAATAACTTATGGATGAATCTTCCTCTCTCAAGGTCCCCTAAGTCAGCACAAGCATGCAAAGCACCCATGATGGATACATCAGTAGGTTTCACTCCTTCATCCAACATCTTCTGAAAAATCACCATCGCCTCTTTAGGATTCTCATTCTGCACATACGCATCAATCATTGAATTCCATGAAACAACATTCCTTTCCAACATACCATCAAAAAGCCGCCGAGCGGTTTCCAGAGATCCACATTTCGCGTACATGTCAACCAAAGCAGTGGAGATATTGACAAAAGAATCAAACCCAGCACGCATGGCATACCCATGAATCTCCTTACCAACACTAGCCAACCCCAAAGCAGAGACAGCAGGCAAAACAGAAACAATGGTGATAAAACTAGGCTTCATATTCTCCTCGCACATTCGAGTAACCATCCCCAACGCCATCCTCGCTAACCCATTCTGTGAATACCCAGAAACCATAGTGTTCCACGAAACCAAGTCTCTCTCAGGCATTCTATCGAACACCTTGCGAGCCTCATGTACCTGCCTGCACTTTGCATACATATTCTCAAGCCCAGTCAGGGCGAATAAATCCAACGAGAACCCACTCTTCACCAACAACCCATGAATCTCCTTCCCCACGCTAACCTCTGTCTCGTCTCCACATGCTTTCAAGAGATAAGTGAAGTTATACACAACAGGCTCAACATCATCACACCTCATCCGAACAAAAAAGCTCACAGCCTTATCCAAATCAGGAACTTTAGCGTACCCTTTAAGCATGGTGTGGTACAGAACATCGAGCTTATCTTCAACGGGTTCGAAAACACGAGCAGCCTCCACGACGCTGCCGTAGCGACAGAACAAGCTGACAAGTTTGGTCTGGAAGAGATGCTCCTGATGAAGACCGTTCTTGAAGACGAGAGGGAGAATGTGTCGGAGGTCTTCCAGAGAAGAGCATCTCTCGAGGAGAAGAGCAGCCGGGTGCTCGTAGACTTTAGCAGGAATGTAAATTCTCTGGGAGAGGAAGTGGTGATGTTGGTGAGAGGAGGCAAATGGGGGAGTAATGGTGGAGACATGCACCAATTGTGAGCTCATGCTTTAGAATTCTGCAAAATCAATTCTCAGTTCTGTCTTTTCCAACGTCCCTCTATCGATTCAGTTCAGTTTTAGATGTTATCATTAATGTCTGCCTCGGATTTTAGTGGCCGTGAGAAAGCAGAGGATCGACAAAAATATCTGAACATCGAGACCACAATATTTTAACTGTTTTTTTTTTTTGAACAAATAACCACAATATTTGTATTACCTCCTTGCTGTGAAAGTTTCTTCATCGTTAACAATTACTGTCACAAATTCTAACTCCTTGCTGCAATATAAATGCTTGTAAACACATTTGATAACCATTCTGTCTTTGTTGGAGTAAATCTCTCTCAGGTCTTTTGTTGTTTTTTTGCTTAGTGGAACAGGTTACATTTTAGTTTGCTCATTACAGCCACTGCCTGTTATTGGTTGATGTAATTTGATGCACACACTAGGGGGTGATTGGTAGTTGCTGTAGGTGCTGTCCACAGCCTTATTTATTTCTACAGCACTAAATTTAGAGCAATCAAGCTTTAATTTTTTTTTTGAAATCACAGCTCTTGAAATGATCTACAGCTATACAAGTGTTCTTCAGAGCCAAATATCCAAAGCAATTTTTTAATGCTTTCCAAAAAATCTACAGCAATAAAATTTAAAGTCACAGCAAAAAGTCTACATATTTTTTTCTACAGCAAAAACTTTAAAATTACAGCCATTACCAATCGGACCCAAGGTCCGACTGGTTTCCCCGCTACCACCCGCAAACACAGCCTTTGCAATTGATGGCGGTTGCTAAAGTTTTGCAACAATCACAAAAACCGCTACAAATCGCTTCAAACCACCCTCAACCTCTTAAAATCAAAAGCTGGTTTCAGCTAGCGTTTGCGTTTGCGGGCGATTGCGGGTGGGTAAAAAAACTATTTTTCTTTTAAATTTATATTTAAATATAAAAATAAAAATAATATAACTAAAACTATATCTACCTTTTATTTTTTAATTTAAATTCACTAAAAATATCATAATCTATTTATAAAAACTTTAAATCAAGAATTTTCACTATATTTTTCAATATTAAATATATAAATATATAAATATATAAATATATAAATATATAAATATATAAATATATAAATATATAAATATATAAATATATAAATATATAAATATATAAATATATAAATATATAAATATATAAATATATAAATATATAAATATATAAATATATAAATATATAAATATATAAATATATAAATATATAAATATATAAATCTATAAATATATAAATATATAAATATATAAATCTATAAATCTATAAATATATAAATATATAAATATATAAATATATAAATATATAAATATATAAATATATAAATATATAAATATATAAAATATATAAATATATAAATATATAAATATATAAATATATAAAAATATAAAAATATAGATATATAAATATATAAATATATAAATATATAGATATATAAATATATAAATATATAAATATATAGATATATAAATATATAAATATATAAATATATAGATATATAGATATATAAATATATAAATATATAAATATATAGATATATAAATATATAAATATATAAATATATAAAATATAAATATATAAATATATAAATATATAAATATATAAATATATAAATATATAAATATATAAATATATAAATATTTAAATATTTAAATATATAAATATATAAATATTTAAATAAATATATAAATATATAAATATTTAAATATTTAAATATTTAAATATTTAAATATATAAATATATAAATATATAAATATTTAAATATTTAAATATTTAAATATATAAATATATAAACACATAAATATATAACTAATTATATTATATTATATTATAATATTTATTAATTATAGAAATTATATTTTCATCTAATGATAATTCTATAAATTTAATCTATGTGTTCAAAATTATTTTTATATTCATTAACATACATTGACCCAAATTTCAATTACTCAGTGGAACTGTCGAGGGATTGGAAACGATTTCAGAATTTGATGCCTTGCCAAGATGTGTCAAGCATCGCCCAAAATTTGTGTTTTTTTCTGAGACGAATAATAGAGGCTTCTGTTGCAAGACATTCAAACCGACTTAAGAGTTGATCGTTTATTTACCATTGAGTCATTTGGAGTCAATGCAGGTTTAGCTTTACTTTCTATGGATGAACTTTAAATATATGTTTTATTTTCAAATAACAAAATGATTGATGTTGAGGCAATCATTAATGGAATAAAAGTTTTCATGACGTTTGTTTATGGTGATCTTGTATTAGAACGTAGAGATCAAGTTTGGGGACACCTTACGCATTTCTCAACTGCAGATACTAGACCTTGGTTTATGATAGGAGATTTCACGGAAATTAACAGTCTGAAAGTTCATTTTCGCCTTTTAAGCAAATGCTAACTAATTGGCATGCTGGAATTCCCATTTACTAGGAATATGCTATCATGGGTGTGAAACCGGGTAGGATGAACGACTGTAAGATGCAGATTAGATAGAGTTGTTGAAAATGGAGATTGGCATGAGAATTTTCCTTACTCTTTAGTAAAGTACATGAGGTTATGGGATGGGTTCATCGTATGGTTCTTGCAGACATTCTTACTAAGCCAACAAATAAATCCAAAAATTTCAAATTTGATAAGAGATGGTTGGATAGTGAAATTTAAGACAAGTCATTCTTTAGGGATGGAAATCTTCTGATCTCTCCCCTGACGCAAATATTATGGAGCATACTGCCAGTTGTCACAAAGACTTGAGCCACTGGAGAAGACAACACATTTTAAACTCGGATAACTGGTGGAGGATCTAAAAGAGAATGTTAAGGGTTTATACTCGAGTGATGATGCTTCGACAGAGGAATTAACAGATGTAGATCCTAAAATCCACACTAAGAATTTTGTAGTGATCAAGAGTTTAATCTGGGGAAGACAAATTATGTGGGCAACAATGCTCTTAGAACACAATAATACAATCAAAATTTAGTTGACAAAAATGAACTTTATTGGATATGAGATCGAGAACAACAAGGAAATATCGAATCTATAAACTAACCAAATGTTAAGAAGTGAGGTCGATGGGATTAGTGATTTGCTCAAGGGTTTTACGTGTGTCCCATGCTCTGCTCTAGCTCACCTTTATACTCTCTTTCTCCTCTAGTTGCTTCCGCAATCTTTGGAGTGATGGTTCGACCTCATTGTGTTCGATTTGGGTCGAATTGACGATAATGGCATAAGGGCCCGGGCTTCATACGGACATTAGGTCCAACGTTTGTTCTTGTCTTCCTCGATGGGTTCTTCACGGGCTTATTTGCTCGATAGTTATCTTTGTTGCGTGATAGGCCTCGTACTAGAAAATTAAAAAAAATAACTATATTTTTCAAAAAGAAAAGAAAAATTAATTATACAAGTATTTAATTAGTATAACTTTACATAGTTGCCTAGGCCTAACTGTAGCGGTTCTCGTTTAAACTATATTATTTAAAGATCTTGCCTTTCGAATCTTTAAATTAAAAGTATCTTACTGTAAATATAATATTATAGATATTTATTGATTAAAATAGTCTAGTAATTAATATTTTAGGTATTTCGAATTATAAAAAATATTTTAAAATTATTTGATTATTTTAAAACTAAATATAGTTAATATTTATAAATATATAAACTATATTGTATCAATTAAGGTACATATTTGATTCACAGTTCGTTTCCGGCTTTCTAGTTTTAGAGATATAGGACCACTAGTATAATTGATAGATCTAAATCCAAACCTACCCATATTTTTTGGTTCAGTTTGGTTCCAGATAAATGTGCCCATGCCTAGTTATAGTTTTGAAATTTGAGAGTAGAATATTTTAGATGAAGAAATATTTGAATATGATTTATAAAGCTTTTCAGATATATATATGGGCTTTTTGCAGAATTGACCTGAAACTTGAAGTCAACCACAAAACTAACCTCCTTTTTTTTTGGAACTTTATTTTGTCCAATTCACCCCACAAATTCATATAATTCACAAAAATGCCATCAATTTGTTTTTTTTTTCGAAAATAACATATTTACTCTCTCACCCTCATCATCTTCAAGTAATTACAAGATTGCCATTGTCATCAATACTCCAACAACCATGAACAACCAATTTTGAAGCTCTTAATGCCTCCAAATTCCATTTACCCTTCTTCTTTCTCTATTCTCATGAACTAAACAACACATTACAACACATATCTCTCACTT